GTTAATCAACAAGTGATGGTAATAGATGTCTAGAGTTAGATAACTGCTTAATTAGACCATTGTTTTAAAAATTATTAGATCTAGACTAGAGCAAGGAAATCTTTTATTCATTAACATAAAGATTGTAGTAAAATAAGTGAAAATCAATATACCAGTTTCTTTTACCTTTTTGAAATTAATCATTTAATTCAGTTTGGTTTATATTGTAAAATATAATGGATATTTTTGTTTTCAGGTCATACATTCACGACCTCAAGATCTTTTACCAAAACCTATTGAAGAGGATGATCCTGCTTTACAAAAGCCATCTGAAGAAGCAATACAAGAGAATACAGAAAAAACCAGGCTGGCATTAGAAAAATTAATTTCAGGCAAAATCAGTGCTGCTATGCCTGTACGTCATGCAGAAAAACCTGCCCCAGCACAGTATATCAGGTAAATATTATGTGTACAGTAAGGGATGTACATTTTTGGGAAGCCCCTGAGACCATCAAACTCTAATGGGTAATTGACATATGTTGAGAAAGTAAAGACATTGGTTGTTATGCTGGCCACATGACACCGTGTTAACCGTGAGCCATAGAAACATAAGAGCTTTACCTCATCTGCCCCCCATAGATCACAAGGTCTGGAAGGGGTGCCTTAACTTTACTATATGTTCACACATGTCCTAAAATTAGAACTTAGTTTGAACATTGTAAACTTGTATATCTATTCTCAATATCAAACTTGGGCCATACCTTAGTTAAAGACATCTTTCTGTGTTCCCTGGCAAGACACCTCAATTTGGTATTGTAACTAAATTTTGTTTTACAGGTATACTCCATCACAGCAAGGTGTGGCATTCAACTCAGGAGCTAAGCAAAGAATCATTAGAATGGTAGAGACACAAAAGGATCCAATGGAGCCTCCCAGATTCAAGTAATATGCTATTTAGTAAAAATGTTTACCTTTATTATTCTGTTAAAGCATTTTAGTAGATATATTGAAGTGAATGCACATAGAACAAGTCTAAGTGTAGTAGCTTAGATACTATTAGAAAAATAGTACTTGATTCTGTATTAAAAAAATATGAACATTTGAATCCAAAACACTTTTTTTTTTTTGTAGACATAAAAGAGCATTGTTTATATCAGGTGTATAATGTGCATAGTTAAATTTTTGTTCTCTTAACGAACAGAGTCAACAAAAAGATTCCCAGAGGCCCACCTTCTCCTCCTGCACCTGTTATGCATTCACCTAATAGAAAGGTTTGTATTAGTTGGGAAACATTATATGTTTAGTATATCTTATTAAATTGTTGTCATTTGATTCCTTACCACACCAGTATTCATTTGTCAAATCATCATGATATAATTCTTTAATTACACTTAGTCTTAAATGAAATATTTGAAAGTTACATTTTGAGAGTAGTCATGAAAAAATTGGTCTCTTGCATTTATATTTAGTTAACATGGAAGAAACTGCATTTTGCTTTGTTAACATCATTGTAATACGTCTCATCTGTCCCTTGACTTTTGTCGAAGGGTGCTGTGAAAGTTCTCGTAACCGGATCCCTCCACTTTTCCTGGTCAGCAGTTGTTCTTAGAACGATATGATGAGAGCTGGTCCATTCTTTTAATTTATCGAGAAAGCTTTTCTTCTTCAAGCTCCCTCCAATGTACCTTGAAGGTCATGTCTTTCTGAATGAGCAAACCAGCTCAGCTCTCGTCTCTTGACAGTTTAGGAGTTCCTCCTTTTTGCCATCCAGAATGTTGACTTAATACATCATTGTAGTAAAAAAAAACAAGGTGACAAAGTGAGATTCTAGGTCAGTTTACTTACAAAAACATGCATTGACCTTAATGAACCAGTATTAGACCATTATTATAATTATAAAAAGACTAAGTGGGTGATAAAAGAGTTACTTTGTCAACTTCAGTTGTAATCTATTAGGAGTATCTGTCAGGTCTTGAATAGCATGAACTTCCTTTTCATCTTGTTTTAAACATTTGTGTTCAAAGTATGCATGTGAAGTGTATTCATGAATTAATTTTCATTATTAAATTTGGTCAAATTTAGTTGATTTTGTTTACAGGTGTCAGTAAAAGAACAACAAGACTGGAAGATCCCACCTTGTATTTCAAATTGGAAAAATAACAGAGTTAGTAGTCATCTATTTTACATTTTATTGTTAGAATTTTGAATTTATAATTAGCTTTACATAATTTAATTTTTTTGTGTTCTGTACTAGTTTTTTCTTTTTTCTTTAGGGTTATACGATACCTCTTGACAAACGTTTGGCAGCTGATGGCCGAGGACTTCAGGGTGTTCACATCAATGAAAACTTTGCTAAATTGGCTGAAGCTTTGTATATTGCAGACAGAAAAGTAATTTTATTTAAAATTTCTATTAAACTATGGAAAAAAAGTCCTAAACACAAATTGGGCATTAATTTTGTTACATTTTTTAACACTTATAGTTTACTTGCCCAGTATACTTAGTATTAAGCAGCTATCATTTGGTAATCATAGCAGCCTCATAGTTCACTATATTTATTCATGAAAAAGTCAAAATTTTTAAAAAAAATATATTTTTGGAGTGAGATTATATACTTTGAATGCTATAGTAATTACAACGAAAATGTGGATTATTATAAAAGATGTTGTGTTTTTTAATTAATTATCACAAGTTACTATTTGTTTATAATTTGTAAATTTATTCCTTGAATTGAGCCATTTGTCCTGGAATTATTAACCACTTTTTATTGAACCATTTGTTTGACAATGATAAGTCAATTTAATTCACCATCCTTTATGTGTCGTTTATTCTAATAAAAGAATTAAAAATATTATCATGAAATTACAATATTTTAACTCAATTTTCCCTGTTCTTGAAAAATCCTGAAAATAAGTGTTTCAGCATTTAACTAATAATACTTTTCAATCTTGGCATTTTGGAAAAATATTTATCTGATATAAAATTATACAGCTAGACATATTAAAGATTTCAATTGCTGGCTTATTTATTTATTTTTTATTTTTTTTGTCTAATGGTTGGGACATTTAAATCCTTTTCTTTTTAGTCACTTTTCCTGCACTTGCCCAATAATCTCTCCTTTGAATCCCACAGGCTAGAGAAGCTGTTGAAATGCGTGTCACACTTGAGAAGAATAAAGTGAAGACTATAAAGGAGAAAAAGGAACAAAACTTACGACAACTAGCTCAGAAAGCTAGGGAAGAGCGAGCTGGCATTCGCAGGGAGGAAGTTGTTGGTAATAGAGAAAACATATTCAGATTTTTTTTGTTACTTTTGTACATTTAAGATAAACATCATTGTAACAGAGGTATCAAAATTAATGGACATGTATGATTTAAAAACAAATACAATTAGCTGTACTGTCTCTTAATCGTGTGAGGAATGGGTCAGCTGGATACCATCTTGTAGATTAATGTTCTTAGCCAGATTTTTAATGTAATGTCTGAAAATGGTCAAAATATAATTAAGCTAAGCTGTGAGGATTTAACCTAGTCTGGTACTGTACCTAGTTTGCACATGTTGTTCATAACATTTAAAAAATGTATGTTAAATGGTGGGAAAATCAAAATGGTTCCTAAGTATAACTTAACTCTATTAATTCTGCAATCACCAAGTAATTTGTATGTTCCTTTTTACCTTTCTAGTTAAAAACGCTGACTTATGTACATCTAATCACCTGATAATAATTGAGAACAGTAATTTACTATGATTTAATGAAAGTTTATTATTAGCAATAAGGTATGTGTAAAATTCGTTAACATTAAAAATTACTTAGTAAGAATTATTTTTGCCATGTTATAGAGAAAGATGAATCTGCTGCTGAGCGTGATGAGGTCAGGCGTGATAGAGCCAAAGAAAGACAGAGAGAGCGAAATATTGCACGAGCTGCTCCAGATAAACGGTAAGTTTTGGGCTTTAACTTTGATTCAGCTGTTTATTTGTCTCATAGTAAATTGTAACTAGCATTATTTGTAGTGCCGTCTGGCTTGTGAAAAAGTTGTGCTCAAACACTTTTGTAATACAAATTAGATTCTGCTTTGGCTATTGACTTATCCTAATAAATTTTTTACAACAAATGCTCATGAAATAAGGGTGTGATTTATAATTTAATTAGAAATTGTTTTCTTTATAAAGAAAAAAATGTACCGTACCAGAGCATTGGATTTCTCTGTCAATTTTAGTATTATCTCCCTTACACTGAGACAAATGACTATTTTGTATTCTTAAAAATTGCATCTTTCAGGGAAGAATCCAAATTATTTCATTTAAAAGTATTAAAAATTTATTTTTTTTGCTCCATATTTTTCCATAGTTTAGATTTAACAAAAACCCTATTAAAACCTCTCATGTAATTGCAGCTGTATATTGTTTGAATTTTTTTTTATAGCAATCGTCTTCAAAGAGATAAAGAAAGAGACATCAGTGAAAAAATAGCTCTTGGCTTGCCAAATACTGGAGCAGGAGGCAGTAAAGAAACACAGTTTGACCAGAGACTCTTTAACATGAGTAAAGTAAGTTTTAGTAGCTTTTTATCTTATTGTATCTTAATATTTTGTTTATCTTTCTCTTCGTTTGTAGAGACTTATGTTCAAGTGCCATTCTTCCACCCTTCTAAACTTTAAACGAACTAATTGTATATATAATAATTTATAACTTTTTTTTTTGCTTTCTTTTGTCTTGTGTCTATATTTTAAACCAAGTTGTGAAGAGAACAAGTTTCAAATAATTTTATCTTTTTTTCTTAATCATTACATTCATTGGCCAGTTCTCCATTCATAAAACATGGCTCTTATAAAGCTATGCTTTTTGTTGTTCTTCAAGAGTTTCAATTTTTTTTTTTCTTCACCAGGGAATGGATAGTGGTTTTGGTGATGATGAAGCTTACAATGTCTATGATAGACCTTGGAGGGAAGAAGGAACTATTTCCAAGACAATCTACAGACCTTCCAAAAATTTGGACAATGATCTTTATGGTGATGATTTGGAAGCAATAATGAAAACCAAAAGGTCTTATTTTTATTCTATGCAAATACAAGTAACAAGATATTTGGAAAATAGTAGATGAAAAATAAAATTATATTTATAGTTAAGCCCCAAAGTTATAAAAACATTTAGGGAAGAAAGAAAACAAAACATGAGTTTCAAAAGATCCGTGTTGATCTGGAGACAGAGAGTTTAACATTTCTCAAAGCAGATAACTAGGAAAGAAACATGACTTTTTTCCCCAATAAATATGTCTAGAAAAAAGCGGCCATGATATAACTGATTGTCATGTATTTGAATGTATCTCAGATTTGTGCCAGATAAAGACTTTGAGGGTACTGACAGAAATCGTCGACGAGAAGGCCCAGTTCAGTTCACAAGAGATGTGGAAGAAGATCCTTTCAACTTGGATCAATTCATTACTGATGCAAAGAAAGGTCAAAAGAGAACTGGTGATGACTCTCGGTCTTCTAGGGACTATGATAGTAAAAGTAGCAGTAACAAAAAAAGACGTGAATAGTTCAGTTTGAGTTCTTTAAAATTGGTGTGATTGTTGCATAGGTTTCAATGTGACTGACTTTTGATTGCCACATTCTTTTCAATGATATTTTAAAATATTGTTGATAAATCAATTAAATAAATGAAAATAGTTACATATTCATTTTTTTTTTTTCTCCATGTATTTTTTTTTTCATAAAGAGTTTTAATGTTTTTATTTTATACATTGTGTTAGTGTTTTTATTTTATACATTGTGTTATGGTTGATTAAGATTTGTTGCTTTTAAGAACTCAGTTTGAAAGTTTTATGTCCAACTAGTATTTTTTTTTTTTTTAAGAAGACTTGTTACATTTGTGAGAAATGAAAGATTCTAGGATTTGAAAACTACATAAAGGACTACTGTTTTCAACTAGTTCTAACAGTTTCTGTTGATGCCAAGAGATAGGTTTAATTTAGTATACATTTTATTAATAAAATTAGGCAGTCGTAGTGCAAAAATAGCTCACTGGATCTGAATAAATGACATAAAAAAAAATATTGAAGAACAAAAAAATAGTTGGTTTTAAACAAAATGTAAATACTCAATTACCTATAAATTCAGTTTGTTTATAAATGCAAGTATAGTTATCATTAATGGAATAGAAGAGTTTCTAAAGTTATAAGAACATAGAATTTATTGAGTCCAAAGTAGAAGGAAGATATTATGTTTTTACGTAGCTGTAAAAAGTTATACCAAACATTTACCAAGTTCTAGCATTACTACTGCAGATACATTTTGTGGATTGTGTAAGAAATGTTGGGGTTTGTCAGGTTCCTCGAACAAGTCTTTACAAAAGCCAGTTGTCATATCTTCCCATCCCAGCAGAAGTGAATCTCTTGTGAGTTAGTCTTTCACATACTTAAAAGTTTAATAATTACAATATTTCTGAATTTACTGAAGAAATAACTTGCGTGTTTATAATATTTGAAAGAGGGAATAGAAGCAACAATATTAGCACTACCAAAATGAACTTATTTGTTCTTCTATTGACTTTATCACTGTCACTAGATACGTAGGTGCAATGACCTGCTTACTACGTCTTTGTTAGGAATATTAATTTAAACAGTTGAAACATTTGTTGGTTGTTTTGAAGTGTTTTTTTTTATTTCCTTTATTTTCAATTTAATTTTTTTTTTCAAATGTTTTTAGATTCTACTGTGAGAATTATTTTATCTGTAAAGAATGTCTCCAGTTCTATTCTCATTTACAAGGTTGTTGTTTTTTAGTTTTTATTTCAATATTGCATTCTGAGACTGGTTAGAGATCATGCAGGTGGGTAGTCATCTTGTGACAATCTGATCATTGATAGGCCATTATTTATGCAAGTAAAAAAAAAATATTATACAGTCCTAATAATAGGGAGTGGCTTGCCCTTACTCTTTAATCATTTTAAGGCATGTATTTTGTTAATCCAGTTTGTGTTTTTCCTTATAAAAAACTCTGCAGCACTTTATAAACCAAACTGCTTTATCTACCAGGTTGAAAATGTTATTAGAGTTTTTAAAAATAATTTGAAGACATGTACTAAACAAATATTTGATTGTAAAGGAATGTTCTTACATCAACTGGGGCAACAGATATTTACTTTGCAATGTTGAAAGATTCTCATTTATACAATTTCCCTTACTGTCTTCGATGCTAGTTTTGGTCATTTTATCAGAGGGATGTTTGTAAAATGTTTTACATGTTTTCGGATATTCCTTCATAGTTGAAGATAATCTATTTCCTGGTCCAAACCTCCCGCAAGACGATGAGGGATGGCAGCGGGCATGGTATGAACCTGGGACCATCAAGACAAGCAAATGACAGTCAAGTGTGCATACCTCACAACCAGGCAGCCATCACTATAAAACAATTTTTAGGCTTAGGGCCTTACTGGGATCCCTATAGCAGTTTAAGGCTCTTTTTTTTTTTTTTTTTTGTATAATAATGTATATGTTTTCATATTTCATTTAACAAAACAGATTTGTATTTGAATGAATCTCTCATTTAATCACGTTACTGTTACTTCCCTTATGCTATCAATACATTCATAGTGATGGCCATGCTTTACATTTTCTGGTTTCATTTGTAATAAAACATTTTGGGAAATGAAAAAGAAATACCAAACTAAACAGTGGAGCTCAAATTCTCGGCTATATTTAGTACTAATAGAGGGGAAGCTTAAATTCCCTCCCTTTACTATTTTTAAAGCGCTCAAAATTCCCTTCTAGTCTTAAAATGTTTGAAATTAAATTACTAAATCTTATGTTCGTTACATATGTGCATGCACTATGTATACACAAATGTGAGTGTGTTGTTTATCATTTAGGTTTGAGAATAATCGAAAACTAAAATAAGAAAACAATAAAGAATTTCATTGAACAAACACAGATTTTGCAGATTTAGTTAGTATAGAGGAGCCCCCCTTTTCTTATCTAGTTATGAGATGAACCACAACTTCTTGGGAATCTTGTGTTAGTACTAATCAATTAGACCTACTTCAGAAAAGTGTGTCGTTTAGATTACACTAAAATAACCTGAGTACTTTGTGTAATAGGACTACTGGAGAGACCGCACCCTATTGGAGACTTAAAAACTTGTCTGAAAGCAACATGGAGTCATACTCAATGAGCAGATCAACTTCAAAACATGTAGCCCTGTATCCAGCAGGTGCGCTTAAGCTGGATTGGAAGAGGTCAGTAGCCTTCACCCGTTTGCCAATTGTGCTGTGATAATAATGCTGGTGTCAGAATTGTAACAGGCTTGGCAAAATGACTTGATGCAAGTGTGCAGTAGTTCTCTCTGAACTTTGGCATCCCCAAATCAAATCCGACGGTATTAGGCACCTGGCAGAATCACGAATTACTTGTTCAAGAAGAAAAATGTATAGGCTATGGCCGGCTATGCTAACTATGAATACTTAGATGGCCACTTGTGGGTAAGCATATGAATCTAAGATGTTAATCTTGATGGGTATAAAGAATCTCGCCAAACGCATCCATTCTTTTCCTGTCGGTAGTCTTTCTAATGATGTGATTTTGTAAAAGTAAGTAAAGTTCCTCTTTCAGACCTTGCGATATATTGATGATAAGGTAATCTGTTTCTGTTAACGAGGCCAGCACAACGACCAACCGCCTTTACTTTTCCCAAATAGTGTCAGGTACCCATTAGAGCTGGGTTGACTCAGAGGCACCCAAAGATCCCGAAATTAAAAATCCCAGAATTCGAACCCGGGACCCCCGGTTCTGAAGCCAAGCGCTTCACCGCTCAGCCACCTCGCCTCCCATGTGACATTGTAGGCCTACAATTTAGGAAGACGAAGGGTTTATGTTGCTGGTCCTTCAACTTCACTCGAAAAATAAAATTTCAAAACACATGAGTCAATGACTATCTTGTCACATAAAACTGGCTAAGCTCCATCCAGGCTTGTCAGAAAAAGCTCTCTTAACTTGTTGGTGCCGACAGGGCCGGCCTTATATAATTGGAGGTCCTTGGCATAGGGGATTTGATTGCCCCAAATGAAATAATACAAGTTTACAAAGACAGTTTGGAAACACAAACTCAAAATCGGCCGAAATGGTCCACCCAGGCAGGCTTCAATATTTTCAGAAAGAACATCAAATAAAATTATATCAAAGACAAATGAGAGATAAGAATGGAGAAAGAAAGTTGACAGATCTTGTGTAGTGCCCCAACGCTGCAGCAATCAAAGGATAGGTGCAAGTGAATGCAAAGTTAGATGTGAACCTGACCTAACTAGTTCCCCTTTCAGACCTTGTGGTCTATAGGGCAGATGATGTAAAGTTCATCTGTTTTTGTGGCCTACGGTTAACGAGGGTGTCATGTAGCCAGCACAACGACCAACCGCCTTTACTTTTCACCAACTAATGTCAGCTACCCATTAGAGCTGAGTGGACTCAGACGCCCAAAGATTCCAAAGTTGAAAATCCCAGTCTCCACCAGGATTTGAGCCCGGGACCCCCGGTTCGGAAGCCAAGCGCTTTATATATATAGTCTGGGAACAAATCAACGGACGCAGTCGCGTGTGTAGTGCTTGTAGCATGTGTGGCATTTTTACATCTCAAGAGGCAATCCTTTCCCTTTGCAACCTCTTATGTGACTCTAGTTTACAGGTTGGGCATCTGTATAATCAACAGACGCTGTTGCTAGTTGGGGCCTATAAATATATTATAATATAGAATACTATAGATCTAGATCTATTAATTGCTACATGAAATCACACACACAATATAAGCTCACACATGAATATGCTAAAACTATTCAAAGAATTTTTGAGAGGAAATTAATAGGCCCTCTATTTTAAAAGCTATAGGCCTAATTGCGATTTATTGGACCTCTAGTTCCATGGAGAAGCCACCCTCACTGATTTTTTTTTTAAAGGATTGATACCAGGGTGCACAGTAATAGACTTTAATAATAATATTATATCTTATCTTATAGGCCTATATATTACTAACGTTACTTCAAAAGACCTAGGCATAATAGTATCATATACGTTATATAGGCCTACAATTTATATATTTGCCCATCTCTCAACAAAACTCATATTGCTAAGCTCAAAAGACTATTATTTTAAATATGACATTTTTTATAAATGTTTATTTCAAGTTAATTTAAATACTTTATATTAAACTTGGGGCAAAGAGTCGTTTAAGACAGTGTAAGCCATTATTACTATCTAAATCTAGGTCTAGCTAGCCGGAAAACCTATCTCGTCAGAAGTGAATAATAATGTGATTTTTAAAGAAATAAAATTATTATAGGGTTTCATGTGAACCATTTTTATTAC